ATCATAATTTTGTTCACATCTGCAGCTCCTTGTGTAAATCGACTGTTGTTGCATACTTATGTCTCTCTTTTTGCTGATAAGATGTTTTTGAATTGCTGAGTAGACTGTTTTAAGGCAACAGGGTCAGCCCATTAGCCAGTGCTTCAGATTGATGTTGAATGTGGAAATTATTTGGGGAGACTTTGCAGGCTGTGTATAAGCCTAAATGTAGCTGAAGGGGGACTGTGTGCAGATAAGAGCAGTTCTGAGACACCAGAGGATAATAAAGGAAAATATTTATGATGGAAGATAAAACTGAACAGTAAATACAGTGGTGAGAGGTAACTATGTAGCGGTACTGTCTTGGAGCACAAATTTGAGCTGGGCCACTTGTCCTTTATTGTTTTAATTTGATACTGTTTTCTGCTTTTACTGAACTAGATGTCAGAGGGGAATATTGTACTTTTTACTTGACAACATTTGCAATGTCAGACAGTGGTAGTTGTTTCTTTTAAGATTTTAAATCAAATATGTTTTATAAAAAGTCTATTACAGAGCTCCAAAGTTGACAATTATTTAGTTTTGTCAAGAATCCAGAGATCAGAAATTCCAGGTTACAGTTATATAAAACACTAAAATTGTTGTATATGCATTTGTTGAAGCTGGCTTCATGTTAAAATGCCGTTTACACTTTAATTCAATTCAGTTCAGTTTTATTTGTGTAGCGCCAAATCACAACAAAAGTGTCACCAGACACTTTACAAAGTAAAGCAACCCCCCAGCAGCCTAGGCCTATAGCAGCATAACTAAGGGAAGGCTCAGGGTCACCTGATCCAGCCCTAACTATAAGCTTTATCAAAAAGGAACGTCTTAAGTCTAATCTTAAAGGTAGAGAGGGTGTCCGCCTCCCGAACTGAGACTGGGAGTTGGTTCCATAGGAGAGGAGCTTGATAGCTAAAGGCTCTGCCTCCCATTCTGCTTCTGTGGACTCTAGGAACCACAAGTAGACCTGCACTCTGAGAGCGAAGTGCTCTGTTAGGATGATAAGGCTCTACGAGGTCTTTAAGATACGATGGAGCCTTGTCATTAAGGGCTTTGTGTGTTAGGAGAAGGATTTTAAATTCTATTCTGGATTTTACAGGGAGCCAGTGGAGAGAAGCTAATATGGGAGAGACATGATCTTGCTAGATCCTGTCAGTACTCTGGCTGCAGCATTTTGGATTAATTGGAGGTTTTAATCTAATAATATGATATATAATAACCCTCTGAAAGGAGGCAGTGTGTCTGTAGTCTTTACTCAATTGCCATTTTGAATGCAGGACTTTTACTTGTAATGGACAACTTTTAGATCATGGTATTGCAACTTTCACTTAGGTAAAGGACCTAAATACTTGCTCCATCAGTCACTTAAGATATACTGTTATTGCTTTCATTAACGTTTTCTTATCCAAGTCATTAAGTGTTTAAATTTAATCACATCGTTTCCTGTGGGCAAGTAAATGTTGGGCCAAATTTGAGTCTTTTTTTTTTTTTTTGATTTTCTGTGCCCTGCCTCGTAACTGTCTGTGTAATCGTTTGGACTAAAAGAAGCACTGCTCTCTGTGGGTCCTACAGTTTGTGTGTGTGTGTGTGCGTGTGTGTGAGTGAGAGACAGTTTGTGTGCACATGTATTCATATAGCTAACTTGTATTTGATTTATGCAAGTACACATCTGCGTCTCATGCGTGGTTCTTGACTGAGTTGTCCTGTGACGCTGTGTCATTTCACTTCACCACCTGATTGGTCAACGACTGTCTCTGCAGGTGGTATGACGTCTGTCACTCCAGGAGGGCTTCTAGCATTTATTTGTGTGTATGTGCATGTTCTTTTTTTTTTTTTGTTTTGTTGCATGCTCTTTTAAACATGAGTGATGTATGAGGCATGCTTTCATTCTCTCAGAAGCATATGCACAGACAGTATATACAGTACACATACACATTCAGGGATCTAATTCAGTACTAATTTGCAGCCTTTGAACAGTAGACTAATCTGATAAGAACACAATAGGCTAATTAGTGTTAGATGAACCTACCTCACATGCCATTTGACCACTGTATGTCTCACACAGGCACAAAGAGGAAGCGAAGGTGGTAGCGTAACGGTAAAAATACTTCTAATTCAGCATCTGTGATGAAAATACTTTTATTTCTCCCTCATGGACCACAACAACCATTTAGCAGCCTCTGTGACTGCTACAATATTGCAAAGATTTACCTGCTGTTTCCTGCAATAAAATGGCTTTGATTCCATTCAGTGGTGTAGCCTTGGTGCACCGCTGCGGGGGAGGAGGGCACACTGTGATCACAGCCTCCAATATGTCAAAGGTAATTAGGCTGATCGGAGAGTGTACCCTATTATGCACAGAGAGGTGTGTGCTGTTAATTAGACTGATGAGTAGATACACTCTAATAAGCCCAGCAGAGACCATCAGCTAAATGACTGGTGTTGTTCTGCTCAGACTTCTTCCCTTTTACTCCAGAAAGCTACTTTGACTAGTACGGTTCGGTTGGGTTCGTACTTGTGGACCAGATACAAAACTGTGAGGAGCAGAACTGAAGCAGTTAATGGTTTAGTTGGTTGAAAATATTTTAATAAACTGTCTTGTTTCAGTAGTTTTTCAGCCAAAACTGCCAAATTTTTGCAGATTCTAGTGATCAATTAATGGAGAAAACAATCAGCAAATAAACTGTTACAAATAACAGTTGCATTGCTAATGAAGAGCAAAAGCTGATCAGGTATTTCATATAAATTTTTATTGTATATATAAAATAAGACATAGTTGTCTTTGTAATGTTTACAGTCATTAATCACCAGCACATGGTCATAAAGCTAAAGCTGTGACTGGGCTGTAATAACATGAAATGATGAATCACAGGGGTCTTCCAAGAGTTCTTGGATATATGACACAATCAATTTTCAATAAACATATTACCAGCTGAGTTTGTATATTTGGTGCTAAAGCTGCACCCTAGTTTTGAAGCAAAAAATATGATGGGATGTGATGGTGCACAGCCACTGTTGTATTCTTTAAGCAAAGCCCGTCTTGCAAGACTTTGCTGGAAGGAAGCTATAGTGTGTAAGAAGGCATAAGCTATACCAACATCTCTCTTGTCAACACTGTGGAGTTGTCTATATTTTGTTGTTTTTACCCAGACCTAAAAGATGTCCAAACAGGCAAAATGTGCAAGGTAGAAATAAACTGGGTCTATATTCTACTGCAGATGTATGTTTTAATCATTTTATTGAAAATCGCACTGGAGCTACAAATGAGAGAGTGACAATTGTCAAGCTTCCGCTCAAGATTTAGATACTTAACATTTTTGTCACAATAATGTCATTTTCCCAAATGACCTTCACTTCGAAGGAAGAACTAAAAACTGGGTTTTGTTGTAATTAAGCTAGGGCGCTGACAAAAAAGCACCAAAGGTAGAGGGAAGGGTAAAAGAGAGGGAGGTAGAGTGAAAGAAAGGATGGAGGTGGGGAGGGTGTGAGGAGGAGGAGAGCTGATAATGAGAGGCAGGGTGACAGAATGAAAGAGTGGAAGCGAAGGAGAGCATGTCAAGAATCAAGGGGGGGTTGTTTGCCTGCAGCTGTCTCATGGTGTGATGTCACTAAACCTTCCCACTATGTTTTATTACAGCGAGCTCTGCGTTGTCAGTTTGCTAACTTGTGTCGGCTTGAGGGTTTCAGCATGTCTGCTCGCTGCGTTGTGTCATAGAGCAGTTTAGTTCACCCACAAATAACACGGCAGTACACAGGAGTTGATGTTTCAGTTTAGTGAGTAAATGACAAAGGGAAAATATTTTTAGCCCTTGGTGTGGTTCAGACAGTCTTTTGGCTTGAATTTGTCCCTCCTTCTGACTGCTAAAAGAAATACTGAGCAGTTTCTAATTTACTCAGTGTAGTATTTTAATGGTTCATTGCCTGCACTAATACTGGGAGCAGTAGTTCTCCTCGGTTCTGCCATCGTAAATTTCTGACAGCAGGTGGTTTTCCATCCACTCGCTGAAGTACAGTATGTGCACATTAATATGAATGGACATGCAATCATGTAATTAATTTTTCCCCTTATTAAATACAGTTTGTCTTATTTTCCAGTTCCCCAACCTCCAAGAACTTTGCACATATCAGGCAGAAAGATGCTGAAAATAGGTCTTGGTGCTTTTCACATACAGTAGCAACATTTCACCTTTAACAAACTGGGATCAATAAAAAAATTAAGTGTTTTCTTACAGTGAAATAGCCACATTTCCACCAAAGGAACTTTCCCCAGGGAGCAGGAACCTTTTGTGAGACCTAAGCTATTTTCACACATGAACTTCAGACTATGTCCACGGAATCAAGCCTAACCCTAACACGTAACACACAACAGGTGGTAGTCTGGTCTGAAATACTCTGTCTGGGGCACCTTGAGGGACCTTTTACCCTCTTTAGCTTTTAACTTTTTAGCTGTTATCTTTTTTTGTTTGCAATAGTTAAAATATTTAGAAACAAAGTGCTAGTTTCAGGCCAGCAGCCCTCACTGCCGTTTCTCATATTAGATAACTTTATTACAATTTTTAGGATACAGCAGAAATGTCAACATGCCATTTCATTCCATTTTATTCAGTATGTGATATGACCATATGTTTACAGGTAACAGAGAATGGTGTGTTATGCCAAGGAAAGAGGTAAATAAACAGTGATTGTCGTTCTAACTGGGTTAACTACCTTCTATATCATAATGCCATTTCATTGTTGCTTTTGTTTGTATTGTGTTGCTTTAGCAGAACCATAGGCCTTGTTTATTTTATCATAAGATGGGGAATGAAGAAAGGGGGAGGCCTTGCAGAGCAGGTGTGAAGTGGGATTTTATGAAGATGACTGACACGCATCACTATGCAGTATTAAAGCTGACTATTAATCACACTCATACCTGTCCTTTTCCTGCAGCTCCTTTTTTCACCTCTGCCTCTCTGTCTGTCTCTCTTTATGTCTGACAGAGACAGTGATGGATACAAGGACGGCGACAGCTGAGCTTGGCTGGATTTCGTTCCCTGCCAATGGAGTAAGACCAATGTGTAAAGGTGTATTGTGTGGGGGGGTGTACTGTATGTGTGTGTGTACCTCTAGGGAAAGTACACTTTACAATGCTCCATTAACAAGTCTGTCAAAATCTTAATTACAGTGTCAAGGTGACACCAATTAACCGCTACTGATGCAGAATAGAACGGGTTCCAATAGATCAGAGAGGTGCGGCAACCAAAGAGCTACAATAGATGAATGAATAGAACAGAATACAGTAAAATGGAATGGCTTCTGCTACTCACTTTCTTGAACTCCTTGGCTTTTTTAAATGTTGGCTTGGCATCTAGATGGTTACAATGCTCTGCTCTGTGTGTGTTTGAGGTGAGTGGCTCTAATTGTGATGAATGGTTGTCCCTGTACAGCTCTGCACAAGGTGGAGGAGAGAAAAAATGTGAACATGGGAGGGGAGTGGGGGGAAAAGAGCAAGAGAGAGACAAAATGGGAGGGAAAGAAAGTTTAATTTGTGCCAGGTCTTGGTAAACCCATTAATCATTTTGGCCTCTCTGCTCCCCTCTTCCTCACCTCTCATCTATATCCCCTGCCCCTAACTCACACACATCTTTCGTTAGTGGGAGGAGGTGAGCGGCTATGATGAGAACCTGAACACCATCAGGACGTACCAGGTGTGCAACGTGTTTGAGCCCAGCCAGAACAACTGGCTCCTGACTACTTACATCGACCGGCGGGCAGCACAGCGCATCTACGTGGAGATCCGCTTCACTGTACGTGACTGTGCCTCCATCCCCAGTGTCTTGGGCTCCTGCAAAGAGACATTCAACCTTTACTACCTGGAGACTGACAGGACTGTGTCAGAGAGCATCAAGGGGGTGGAGTACTGGGCAAATGCCCCCTTTCTAAAGGTAGCTGCCCAAAAACTAGAGCTTTTTGAATAGAGTGTTTCAGGTATTGTCACAATGTAATGATTACATCAGCGTTATCAACACAAAGACATGGTGCTGTTGGACTGTACTGTGGCCACTGGTTCAACTCAACAAGTGTTGTAGTGCCCATGATCCTCATAGGTTACAGTGCAGACAATGCAGCTAGAGGCTCAAAGTCTGCCGTCAGTGCACTTTCTGTATACTGTATTGTCATGACCCAGCTCTTAGACCATGTCAAGAACAAGAGACAGACATGCAAATTGCCAGTAAAAATAAGCTGTTTATTAATCAAGAGATATTTAAACAAAACCAGAGGTGTGTTAGTCAGCATATCAGTAGTGTAAGTATGATTGTGTGTAGTGTGTTGTTGTGATGTTGAAAGGTGCTAACAGAATCTAACTAAAATGAAATGTAACAAAACAAATAAAACAATGCCAGGTGCAGGCTGCAAGGCAGAGCACGCTGAGACACCAGGAGTTTGCTCTAAGACAGCAGACCCACATGCTCACAATCTGCCCAGACCTCAGGAATCGGCAGACCTAGGAAGGAAGCAGACATACCCACAGGCATCACCAGAACCACCAGCAAAATGCACACTAGACAGACACACACTAAATAGGGCATTGAGCATGGACCGTCACAGCATGCAATCTAGAAGAAAATTCAGGAGTGATCCAAAACTGATCATGAATTCATACTGTAAGCAGATTATCCCTAAATGTGCATTAATCAATAATGTTCTTCCAATGTCATGCTCTAACCTGGACCAGCTATTAGAGTTTAACTGACTAGATGTGTTCATCCAACTGCTCCCTGGGTTTGACTTCTCTCTTAAATATATTATGTACAGTGTCATATACTGTATATTCACCAGTTCATTTCAGTGTTTTTACAGGATACACTGAGTTGATAAATCAGTCACCCATCCAACTGCTGCAAATCACCTACTGTGCTTTAGCGGCTGCCTCTCGCACCATTATGCAGAGTTAGTGGGGAAATAGTTAATAATCATAAGATTCAAACCTAATAAAATGAAATGCTATGTGGTCACATATGCATTTATCCAGCAGTCGGCACCTTCCCACACACACACACACACACACATACACACTTATGCCAGGTTCAGACTACACAATTTTTTTTTCTGTCTGATACAGCGGCCACTATGCCATATTACATGATTATAGAGCCATCAATTCTTGGACCACGGACAGATCACAGCCTGACGTTGTTTATGCACCTGTCTGTGGGTTGAATGAGGAGTACAGCAGCCTGTGTTATCTCTCCTTTGTGGATAACTTGGAATAGTAGTTAAAAATAAGGTAGCTACTTCACAGGGCTGACTGTGAAAGTTACTATGCTAACATTAGCTGTCCCAATATGAGATTTAATGAATATGGTTCAGTTGAATATGCCAAAAATGTTGTGAACAGAAGAGCGAACTGTGCTCCTGTTGGTCAGTGTTGGCCTACCTCGTCGTAGACGATGACAAACTTTCTGACATGCTAGACTTTGTCCAGGTCCGCCGTGAGGCGTCCCAGGCGCAGCATCAGTTGTCGTTTACTATGACACTATACATGATAAAATAATTGATTGTCATGCCCAATGCCGTTTGTTGGTTTTCATGCCCTACGTCAGTTATGTTGGGCCATTATCTGGCTTAAATCGTATTGTCTGACCTGGATATTAGTGACTCTAATATAGAACCAAGAGGTACTGTATTAAAAAGGGGGAATTTGTTCATTTTTAATTGTTAAACCCCCTTTTTTTATATATTGTTTTTGTTCTGTTCTCTCTGTCTCTGCCAGGTGGACACTATAGCAGCAGATGAGAGTTTCTCCCAGGTTGATTTTGGCGGAAGGCTAATGAAGGTGAACACAGAAGTTCGTAGTTTTGGGCCGCTCTCCAGAGGCAGAGGTTTCCATTTGGCCTTCCAGGATCTGGGTGCTTGCATGTCCCTTCTGGCTGTTAGGGTATTCTATAAGAAATGCCCCAGTGTAGTGCAGAACTTTGCTTTTTTCCCAGAGGTATGAACCATTACTAGCTAAAAACTGTGGTGCTCTATACATCAGACTATGGTGTAGCTCTTACCAAAAATATATAAAGATGTTAATAGACCTTTTATACTGACTTGAACTTTGTGCAGACACTGACTGGAGCAGAGTCCACCTCATTAGTCATTGCCAGAGGAACTTGTATTCCCAACGCAGAGGAAGTGGATGTGCCCATAAAGCTCTACTGTAACGGAGATGGAGAGTGGATGGTTCCCATCGGCAGCTGCAGCTGCAAGCCAGGTTATGAACCAGACAATGACAACGTGTGTCGAGGTAAATCTGTATTTTAATGAGGTCCTGCTATTGTAGTTCAAACTGTGCTCAAAAAAAAAGAAAGAAAAAATTAGCATCACTATTACTCCAGGCTGAGGTAATTCTGTAGGAAATGCAAATGTTTAATGCATCCAGGAGAGTAAAGTGTGTCATTTCTGGCAGTCCTGCCTGAAGAAACACATGCATGTATACATTTTCAGATGTATTTTTGCCAAAGGGTGCAGCCCACGATGTTCCATATGTTAATATTAGTAGAAACCGACTTGAGTGAACATGGTACAGAAATAGCTCCTCTTCCTTCGATGATCCATATATGTTTACCTTTTTTCCTTCCTTTTTCTATCTGGCCTCCATCCCCATTTTGTCTCTGAAGTAGTACCCATCATTTCTTACTCTCCCCAGAGAGTCTCATCCATTTTGTGATTGTGTGTGTGTCTGTGTACAGTACTTGCATAGGCAGCAGGGTGAGGACCTGAATTTAATACCATGAGTGTGATAACATATTGGGAAAGTTGGGACATTTTGGCTTGTCCTTATGTTCTCACACTCCTTCAAAGGGCAGTTTTAGAGCTAAAGGATAAGTCTGGTCATTTTCTATATTAACGGTATTTTCAACACTCCCCATACAGAGTCTAAAACCAGCAATGAATTGTCTGTCATCTTATTCATCTGTGCCATAGACCTCTGTTGTTGATCAGAAATGATTAAAAACACAAGGGAAACATACCGCTGGACTGGGTGACATATTTCTTCATTAGCAAACAACAGACTCGAGCGTGAGTAAGTAGCAAACTGTAGACAAAGCAGAGAGCTCGCACAAGATCTTGCACATGCACAGCTGACTTCTACTAACTTCAGGAAATTATGACCACTTGGAGCCTTTGGGGCAACATAATTGGGCCTGGAGTTTTGTAATGAAAGAAGATGTCACCCAGTGCAGCGGTGTTTCCCTGATGTGTTTTTAATTGTTTATCACACAGACAAACAAGCCAATCCAGGACTGACAGCTGACAGACATTAATCGTGACTAGAAGCAGCTCACTGTTAGTTTTAATCTCTGTATGGAGATTGCTGAAAATACTATTAATATCCTTTAAGCCTTGGTTTTAGGGTTCAGGTTAGAATTAGGGTTATATTAGGGTAAGGATTTGGGTTAGGCACTTAGTTCTGATGGTTACAATTGGGGCTAGGGAATGCATTAATTAGGTGACTCTCAAATGTGTGTAGCTGTGTACGCATCAGTTTGTGATGTATGAAATGATAAGTTAGTCTGTTTCATCCAGTGTTAATCATTTTGTGTTCCTGAACTGTCAGAGGGATAGACTATTATGAAAGAAAGAGACAGAGAAAGAAAAACATTGAAGAGAGACGGATGAGCAAAAAAATAAGAAAGGGGACAAATCAAGGACGGAAGGATACAAAAATGTGAGATAAAACGGTGACAGAACAGAGGAGACTGATGGAAAGAGTTATATCTTCCATCCATACCTGTATATACCTGTAATATGCATCATCATTCTCCCTGTTTTTTGTGAGACTTTCAGTAAAGTTAGCCTAACCTCATTTGAGACCGTTTCATTGGTGTGGGGTCATGACCGTATCTCCACGCCACTGGCTTTTTGTTGCCTCATTTAGCCACAATCGGTCTTTATATTTAAGGATGCTGTAACTGTTAAGCTGTTGTTTTCTTTGCAGACATGATAAAGTTTCCGCAAAGATAACGCTTTTCGCACCCGTCCAGCTGTCCCATTTCCTACCATAGCAGTAACATGGTGTTTTTAGCTAACACAACCAACCCCGCTGTGCCTAGTGTGGGAAGCGGGCTGTCCGAGTGCCATATATTTGTTTCTGTGTTGGAACTGGGTTATTAGTGAATTGCCAAACTTACAGATATTATCATGTAGTTTCTAATTTCCTTACAGAGGACGTTTTCTATCGTGATGACTTTTTATATCATGTACATCGTAACACCCATCCCTACTATAAAGTCAGACTAGATTCATTCATATACTGTACAAGCTACAGTCAAATCCTCATTCGGAGACTGAGACATTACACACTTCTGGTCTGAGGATGTTGACATGACTTGATGATTTCTATCATAGCATGTCTATGCATCCCTGCCTTGTGTGCTTTATTCACAGCTTTTGTACTTACACTGTGATTTAAGATGTCTTGGGACAGAGCACGCCCGTCTGTCTCCACTGAGCTGGGATCTTTTCTCTGCCAATCAGCTGATAACATCTTGGCAGGAAACTGGACTCACTATTAGAACAGATGGTTCTCTTTGTGTGTGTGTGTTCTTGTCCTTGCTACATAAGGAGGACCAAAAACTATTTATTTATTGTTTGGGGACATTTTTGTAAAGAGGACATTTTGGCCGGTCCTTACGTTGTGAAACACGTTCATGAGGGCTAAGACTTGGTTTTAGGGCTCAGTTTAGAACTAGGTTTAGGTTGGGTTAGGCATCTAGTTCTGATGGTTAAGTGTTAGGGTAAGGGACTAGAGAATGCATTATGTCAGTGTTCCTTCACAAAGATGGAAGTACGTGTGTGTGTGTGTGTGTGTGTGTGAGGCCACAGGAATAGTGCTTATTTTTCACCACACCAGCATGTTGTGGAAACCATCCAGCACAACTGGCTCAACCTAGTGTGCGTGTGAAAAGTAAATATTCAAAAGACCTTTTACTTCAAATGCGTCACAATGTAAATGTAAGCCACCCCTGCTGAGGACCTCAACAATGCTCTAGGAGTTTTTAAAACCTGCAGGCTTTTAACACCTGCATACACACACACACACACACACACACACACACACACTATTAATAATTGATCAGCGAGCCTGTATGCCAAGTCTAGACAACTGTCATCCAGGTGCCTGATGTGCGAGTCCACACAGCTGGCTAAAGGCACAGAGGGAAACAGGAATAATCTTTTTCTTTCTCTTTGTCCCTTTTTACCTCCTCCTTTCACCGTAGCTCTCTGCTTACATTTCTATGTACTATCTTTTACATTTTCTTTTTATCTCCCCATCTGTTTTTAGATTTCTTCCATTTGCATGAATGATTTTTTTGCTCGTTCAGTTGCTTAAATTCTTCCTCAGTGGGGTTGTCATTTCTGTAATTTCATCCACACTGAATAAGGTACACAGAGATGCAGCAGCTTCCATTAACCTTTATTCAGAACATTCCCTGAATGTTACTCTCAGGAGGGTTGAATTCAATCAATGGCACACTGTTTAAACTCATTAACAATAAAAATGATTGTTACATATCATGCTGGCTTTTTAATACAAGGCCACTATTGCCAGGTCAGTAGTTCACTCTGTTCTTCCTATGAAAATATTACCCAGTCACTGTACAGGCGCGGGCGCAAACCTGGACACACATAAGCCACACACACACACATTTGTAGTGTAGTGATTTGAAATCTATAGACAGGTGTGCACAGAAAGAGACGGAGTTGAAACTACACAGAGAGGTGGCCCAGAGATAACTAAGATAAGTAACAGAGACGGGGAGCAAGACTTGTTGCCATGGTGACACATCCCATGTTGAAGAAATGACCTTGACAACCCAGATGTCTATCAGCCTATTTAAAACACACACACACAATGAGGCATGAGCCACAGGACACTCAGGAAGACGACGACGACATCAATGGAAAGTTTATGTCTGAGTGGAAAGAAACCAGGAAGGAAAGTGACAACACAGACTCTGACACAGGGGGGAGGAAAAGAGTCTCTGACAAATGGAGATTAAGGAGAATATGGCCAGAACTGTACAACTACTATGTGAGGAAGCATAACTGATATTACATGTAGGTAGTACACTTGCCAGATTACAGGAAACCACTGCATTGGTTGGCTCTTTGCTTACTGAGTTTGTCATTCTGTTAAAGCCTCTTTGATCCAGTTGGATGTACAGATGTAGTATTTTTGAGGGGCATTTTGATGTGTTTATTAGACACTGTAAAGAGATGACAGGAAATGAGGGAGGGAGAACTTCCATTAAGGTCCCAGACCAAAGTCGAACTCTGGACTGTGATTGATGGCCAGTGTCAAGTTGGACTCCTCAAAAGCCTACTTGTGCAGCCCTGTATGTCTTCTACCATAAATCTATGCAACATTTGCATCTGATTCTTGGAGATTACACATCCATTATAGCAGGGGAAAGAAAACAAGGTGCTAAAGATAAATCAACACTGGAAAAGTGTATTATTAAAACCCCTCATTTGGCTTTTTTTTCAGCTTTTTGGCAGAGCTTTTCAGTCTTCTCATTTCACACTTCTCTGTTTTTCCCGCTGCACCTTTTTTCTTAACTTATAATCAGAATTCACAAAGAGGCAACAACGTGTGAATTTAAAACAGGCATGCTTTGGGATATTTTTACTTTATGGTATTCTAAAACACATCACATTTGGTTTAAGTCATTCTGATGCAACTGTTTCTACTCCAGACCATTTTTTAACTTCAGAAATCACATTCACAGTACGTGCTGTCAGTCTCACAGTCAGTCGCAGTAGTGGTGTGGTGGCAATGTTTCTGAACACGCTGACGCTTTGAAGGGTTCAACTTCTGACCAGCAGTGGCTAATCTGAGCTGCTATCAAAATTCCTTGTGCGAAACCCCGAGTATTTACAGAACTGACAAATGATGGAGAAGCACTCTAGCCTCTAGTTGCTGCTCTATCCTTGGGTTTGACTTCAGATTTTCAAAGTAGAAAATGATTGTCGCCTCTGTGGATGCTTTTTCAGATTTTACCTGGCACTGTTTTGTATATAATGTTGTGATGTTTATTTTTGAAAACAAAAACATCTGATTACAAGCAATCATCCCAATAAAATTTAGGTGAGATAAATAAAAAGTCACCATATAACCAGAGATACAGGCCTTATAAAGCTTAAACTATCATCAGTGAAACAGAAATGTTGTCATTCGCAGTATCAGCACCATCGCTACTAACATACTCTGTACTTATTTTTGTTAGAGCCAGTGAAATACACAGTGATTTGGGGTGTGACGCTGCACCTAGCTCTTGAGACGATACACGATCTTGGTTTCACGAGAATGAGACAATATTTTCACACTGTTTTTAAGACATCTTCAATGATGACAGTCACAAAATATAAAGCAATGCAGATGCATTTTGAAATGTTTTATCTACTGAATGACAGTTCAGTTCTACCTCCTGAATATGACTTATCACATGCAGTAAAAGACAACAGTTTGCAAGCACTGTAAAGGATTCTGACTCACAAATTGAACATAAAGTGGCAGGGGCATCTAATTTCACCCTGACACTCCGTCATGCTGGCTGCTGCTCTAGTTCTGTTATGTGCTGATATTGCGAGACAGCTTTTCACCTCGACAATAATATCAAGATCCCATGGCACAAGATCTCGTCAAACTAATAGTGATACTATAGTACAGGGTGGGCTATGGAAAAGTGGCCCGACAAGATGAACGAGTAAGTGGATTGTTTTGGAGGCTTGATACTTTTCCGAAGCCCATGTGGTACTTCTAACCCAGACAGTAACATTCTGCAAAGGCTGAACTTTGTTGCAAATAACAATACATGTTAAAAATTTTAAAGTGCAACACTAGTTTTCCCAGACTAGGCAGTAAACAAGGTGAAGATGCATGTGGCATCAGAAACCTATTTTTGGTAAGAATATTGAGGAGAGGTTTGGTGCGAATTATTCAATTGACAGAAAATTATCAATTACTGTATATCAAGTATTTTGATAATCAAGTCATTGTTTTAGTCATTTATAAAAGAAAAAAAAAGCCAAATATTTGCTGATTCAGCTTCTAAAATGTGAGGCTTGGATGCTTTTCTTTGTCATAGATAATAGAATATGAAATATCTTGGGACTCATTAGTTGGCTGGTCTGAATGTGCAATTCTCATTGACTAAAGTGATGGTGATGAGTGAGAACTTTTAATTACCTTAAAGTATTTTGTGGAACTGCGTTAACTTTGCTCACCCCATCTATACCTCAGTAGGATGTTGCTGTTTCAGTGTTTCATGATTGCTACTGTAAAGAACTGAAAGCTCTGCACAATGCACTTAGGTTTGTAGGGTTATTTTGCAACAATGCATAATTCAGGCTGGGTAAATACACTGGCTCATGCAGTACAGTATAATTACTTTTAAAATGGTGCAACTCTTATGAGACAGACACACACAGTCCCTGTCCTGCCACCTTCTATTGATTATTGGTGTATAATCACATGGAAAGGAAAAAGAAACTGTCCCCTGTATGTGTCTCCTTGTTTCCACATTTCATAGCTTATTTTTTAATTGCCACGTGTGTGTCCCATTCACACTGACTGACCTCTGTTACAACTCTTGTCATATCCCCATCTGACTCTTGCACAAACAATGAAACTGTTTGCATGCAAGTTGAATAATAATCTATTGTATTTTCAGCACAAGGCATCCCTGGATGATGAAAAGCTGCATAAAAGTTGGGCATCATCTTTAAGGATTTGCATGTGTGCTTCATAAAAGATAATTTTAGTTCATATTTATGGAAACAAATCTGACCCAGATAAAGGAGCTAGAGAAATGAAACCCTTCTCCACTCCACAGATAATCAGTGCAACGCAGATTTTATGGACCCAGAAAAAATGTTGGAACAACATAATGTGCTGCTATCTCAGAAAATCCCCCTCTGTGCTTTGTCTGCTTCATAGTACCAATAATAGCTCTGCTGGTCTTTTTAAAACAAAGTTTACCAAATGTCTTGCAGTGAAGACAAACAAAAGGCACAGATGCATGACTCAAGCTAAGAAAATTATAACATACTTGCTGTGTTATATTTATGTGCAGGAGGCAGAGTTGTGTATCATTTCTTGTGTCCCCCCCCCCACCTCTCTCTTTCTTTGCAGCTTGTCCTCAGGGCACCTTTAAGTCCTCCCAGGGGGCAGGATTGTGTCAGCAGTGTCCGCTTAACAGTCGCTCCACCATCGAGGCTGCCACCCTCTGTGGCTGTCGGAACGGTTATTACCGTGGAGACATGGACAAACCTGAAGACATGTGCACCAGTGAGTCAGTCTCGTGCTCTTTGTCAAACAAACAAAAACCCATAGTCCGTAAACCAGTCAGTGTTGTCGCTGAATGTAACTGTGTCAGAGTGAACAATACAAGCAGGTTGGTGGACTGAAGTGACTGATAGCTGACAAATTACAGCATATCAGTAATATGTCAGAGGTCGGCAACACTGACAGTGGTATCTCCTTATTAAATTAAAGGCTCGTATCTGCTTGGATTGGTCATTCCAACTTTAATTTTATGAACCTTATTCAGAGTGAGTATTCCACAGTGCTCCTGTCCTTGTTTGGGGATCTGGGGAGCAGTAAGTAATAATACTGCCACATTCCTCAGGCTGAAGTGAATATGTGTTTAGTATGTTGAAGAGGCAATATTGCTATGCAAGACGAGGCACAGGCTTTGAAAAACGCCGCCTCTCAGTTCCACAGAGACGGTGTAAGTAGGTTGAGACATGAATCATTTTGGACTGTCTCAGTAGCTCAAACTGTCAAACTGTGGGTATGTGTGTTTGCATGTCCTGTTGATCTGGATACAGCAGCATGTTTAATGGGGCCTAAATAAGCTCTGGTTCATTTGTAGGTAGAACTTCATTTGTTGTTTAGGTTCATGTTTTAGGTTCATGAATGAACATTCTGGCAGGAAAAAAAAATCTAAAAGTTGACCCAAAAGCTGTAGAACCTTCTCTCAATGGTTTTGAACGAATTCTAACAGTGACTATTGGCAGCCATTAAATACATCCTAATGTTACCTGAGCCTTTTCTCTCTAGACCTGACTTGACTCTATCTCCCAGTTTGCAATTTTTTTTAGGCTTGATCTCCTTCCTGTATGTAGACTAAATGATGCCATGCTAGTCTGCCCAGCAACACACAGCTTATGATCGATTACCTGTGGTTTGGTTCAGTTGGCCCTGATCAAGGAAAAACTATATGTATTTGGTTTTTAGTACTGGCCTATTTTGTGTTAACAGTTGTTTATTGCATGTGAACCAAAAGAAGTAAATGTGAAGTCGTATCAACTGAGAGGTCATGCATTGATTAGATGTTGGAGAAAACCAGAAATCCCAGTGACTGAAAACAAGTTATGGTGCACTTAATTTCTCCTTATGTATCCATTTACTGTCTCTGATGGTTACCAAGAGATAATAAAAAAGTAATTAACTGTGAACAATAATCATTTAGATCTCAACTGGACCTGATAATACAAGAGAGACAGAAATGAAACTAGAATGGAGAACGAAGGCATACAGAGAGATCCCTTGCACTGGACTAGCCTACTGACTCTTGTAGGTGTTAGCATGATGACCATATGATTTACATAAATACCATACTATAAATACTATGGGGTATATTCACTACGTATTTGCGGTTCTTTTATTGGTGAAATTGCATGTTCACCCAAAGTGGGATTTTGTGGTGGAGAAGCAGAAGAAAGATGTCACCACAGGAATTTACCCGTATATTATTTTAAGGTGTTCCCATTCAGGAATGCAAAAATTAGAGAGAATGAAAATCTATACAGATATCCTCAGTGCCTGATTTATCACCGCTGCAACAGGGAACTCTAACATCAGGAGAAAGCAGGTGTAACATTTGAGGCACTGCTCTCAGCGTGGCATCTGTTAGTCATCTGAGATCTCTTCAGCTTAAGAATGTTCAAGGAGGGAGAAGGTGTTTGTAAATCTCATCACTCACCGGATGAAGATGTGATGGACTTGTACAGGCTGTCAGTTCAAATGCTTTGATTGCTCAACAAAACAAAAGATGATGTGCCTGGCAGAAGACTACATGACTGCAGCTCCAGCATATGGTTGTGGATTTCTTTAACCATATTAAATATAGGTCGCGGTAAACACGATCTTACCTACTGTCCGTCTTGGCCCGCCTGTGCAGCAGTAGGCACTTACCAGCCGAAGTGCATTCAAGTTAACTTGGATGCGGTTGTGATCATTTACATCATTAGTCTTTGTAAAATGTGGTGCTACGATATTTTCTGCTCCTCATGGTGATTTGTGACAGGTTTAGTAAATATTGCCCTTTATGCCACTTGATACAGATTGCTTAGATGATCACTTCCTCAACAGGTCACGATCCGCAGATGGATTTAAGAGTTGTGCCTCAATGCCGGCGACATTATGCTTTCAGATTGTTCGTCCATCCCATTGTTGTGAATGTGATAGAGTATTTCAGGAACACCATGAGGGAAAGGTGTCACAAAACGTCAAAGGTCAAGGTCACTGGTTGGCAGACGCATAGAACCGCGAGGCATTGATCCTAATCTATTCTTTAATTTAATGCTTCTGTCATGTATCTATTATCACACAATTTTGTGGTTGTCAGAATCACACCACAAACAAACCACATTGGAGTTCACTCGAAGCAGATTGAGAAGCAACTCTTCAGGCAGTTTCATCACTAATCTTTACAAACCAAATCAAATGGTCAAATGTTTTCTGAGTATACTGTAGCTGTCCTTTTATCGTGCATATTTAGTGCTGCTGTAATGATCCATTAAAACATCCATAGAGGCAATGCATAAAGTGATTTGTCACCCATAGATATAATCGAATTCAGAGGGATTAAAGCTTATTTCATGTCTTACACTAAAAATGTCAAAAATAAAGCTGTAAAAGCTAAATGCTGCAATGTGTGCAAGTGGTTTTTATTCCTTTACTTGCACTGTAATCAAACCATTCCATCAGTCATCATCGTTTACTGAGATATATTACAGAGGGAACCACAATGTGAAAATTGAGAAAGATTTTTCCACAGTGGTTATGAAACAGTTTATGGGGTTAAATCATTCTGATGGCAGAAAAAGTACATGAAAAGCCTCACTTCAAACAGCGGCAGCACACTCAAGTGGACGCTGATAGAGAGAAAAATCAACTTTTCCAGTGAAAAGGTGTCATGTGTCAACCTACTCAGCCTACATAGCTCTGAGAATTACCTAGCTCCTTTCACTGCAGGGGCAAAAACAAATTGAGTTACAAGTTGTTGCTTTTTTTTCAGACGCAACAACAATCAATGAAAAGTAAGAGTGAAAACTGTGGGGCAGAACTTCAATATAGACTGAAGCTTCAGTTTATTTATATTTTGTGTAAACTCAATCACATATAAAATCAGATCAGTGAAATGGAAGAGTGAACGTGCAGTGTGTGTACTGCCTGACAGAAAATCATTCCCTCAGCATTCTGCATAGGTTGGTGGAGATGTGGGTGTGTTGTGTATACAGTATGTGTGAGAGCTGTTTTAAGTGTATTTTTGTGTGTAGGTCAGATTGATGCTGCAACAATAATTTACAAAACAGTGTAGCTGCAGCACAGATTCGGCCTATACCTGTGAAGAGGGTGAAAGGACTTTTATTGTCCCAGCAGTAAAAAGGTCGATTCAAAATGTGATTATTGCCACTTCTTCTTTATGCATTTGAATGTGCTGTGAACTATGTGACTGACTGAAAATAATCTCTATTTGTGCTATCTAGATAAAAATCAAGATTGAGTGAATATCTGTGTTAGCACACTGCGTGTGTGTGTGTGTGTGTCACTATTTCTTCGTAAAACCCAGAGTTTCTCCTCAGATCAAAGAGATGAGCTAAGAGAGAACCAGCAAGATACACACTGACTGACTGCAAAGAGACAAAGAAACACTGCTTCTCAGGCTGGTGGGGAGCTGATAGAGACAGGGCTGGCTGAAGTCCATATTCTGTGGCAGTGATGCTGGTTAGAAACTGGTTGGTGACTTTGGATGACTGAGAGACCGCTTTACTGTCACTGTCAGTAAAGTAGGCTAATTATCATATTGACTGGTCAATGTGAGGAACACTCAAGGTTTTCCCATACAGAGCACTCGCTCTATGTAAAGATTATATTCTTCTGTAGCAAGAGTGCACTCCAGTGGCAGTACTTTAATCCAGAATACAGATTAATGGTTCCTCAGATGAAGGGGATGGGACAAAATGTTGTTCTCTGTTGTAATCCCCATGAGTGTAAGAATTATTCTTCATCTTCAGGTTCATATAATGTTTGCATGTAAAATGCAAAAAGTAATTGATTAGTCTGCTGTTTTTTGTGAGCTTTGTTTATAAAAATGTCAAAGTAGTGAAATTGTACGTTCCAATTTTCCAGTCTAAGATAAAGAAAAATGGTCCATGTAAGTCTGGAAACCAACAGAAGAGTTTCTAAAATGCTGCTACAATAAAGGTTACATCCAGGTGGAGCAAAAATTGGCTTTAAATTGATAAACTGCTCTAAATTTACCTGAGTGGTTTATTAAAGGTCACGTTGAATCTCTAGGTGTCCCTTCAGCTCCTCGCAATGTGGTCTCTGTCATCAACCAGACATCCGTGCTGCTGGAGTGGCACCCGCCACGTGACACGGGGCACCGTGATGACCTGTCGTATAACATCTTATGCCACAGATGCCACAGCAGTGAGCGACGGGCTTGTCAGCCATGTGATGACAGTGTGGGGTTTGTTCCGGGCAGGCAGGGGTTAAAGGAAACAAGAGTGGAGATCAGTAGGCTACGGGCCCACACGTCATACATCTTCGACATACAGGTTTGTCTCCAGAGAGAATGCTGCTTTTTAAAGCTTTGTTCGCTGTATTCTGCTGGGGCTTTATTTAGCATGCATGCTGTTCAGTGATATTAACAAAATAATGCAATGAAAATCAATATTTTCAGCATCAAACTCTCACCACCTGTGGGCTTGAAATATGGCTCTGAAAAGTCCTTTGTGGAGGCCTGATAAGTAAAATATGAACCAGGCAGAACAATCAGAGTTAGCAAAAACTGTACTCGATCAAAAATACATGTACCTTAAATACTAGTACAAAATGTAATAATAACGGCAGCAATATATCATCCATGAGTAATGAGTATACATCCTGAATAACCAACTGAGCCAAATCATCAATCAAACAACATCCAATTAATCAATAATCCAGATAATTGGCCGGTGGTAACACAACAACCTCAGTGGAGATGTACTGTAGCTGTCTTTAATCTGTTAAGAAAATTAATCAAGACTCAGTCAATACAACAAATCAAATCAGGGTTGAGCAACAATCAATCAAGCAGGGTACAAGGAATTAGCAGTCAATCATGAGCAAGCTAAATACGTCAGAGCAGTCAGCCACAAGCAGATCAAAGCCCAAGATCACCTTAAAAATGGCAATTGAATAATCAAATTGTCTTTGAATGGATTAAAAAATGTACTCAGAAATAATGAAAATGTTGTCATTCCATTTGCATCTCAAATCAGTGTATACAGTATAAGAAAATATCAGGCTATTTCCAAATTACACGCAGTAGTTACAATGTTATCAAGCAAACAAAGCATTCATAAAGCGGAGTGAAAGGTCAAAATAACAAACCCCCCAATGACTAATCAATCTACTGTAGGTTTGAAAGTGCCCAGGGTTTAAGTGTATAAACCAAGCTAAGAGCAAAGGAAAGACAGAGGGACCAAACTTCTCCCAGGAATTATCAAAAAGTTCCCAAATATCAGCTGGGTTGCCCTGTCACTTCTGTGTAGTTCCAAAGCTCCACTGCAGGTGTGATATTTAGCATTTCGCTCCTTGTTTTTGCCATTAGTATCAGTCATTACTGCTGTGAATCCAGGGTGAATTAGCTGCTTTACCTTTGAGCCTACAGGCGATGAGCATTCTTGTCATTTTCCACACCACTAGCTATATAATGTTGAGGAAAATTGCTGGAACTCAAATTTTCTGTGACAGTTTCAATTCGGATTTTCAGGATAAGTAATTTAAATACAAAGTTGCTACTCGGGAAAGTAGTTGTACTTATTACCTCTTTCAAAAACAACCTTAGTGCTGTCAGCACCAGCTTTAAATGCAAATAGCTGCCAGATATTCACTAAAAACATCAACAATACTGAAACGACAAAGTTGCTTGTTGACATGCAGGCTTTTATGCACAATTTGCAGTTGTACCAAGTCTTAAACTACAAGGCACCACCTGAAGTCTCTAAGCCTGTGCAATGGTGAACCTTCAGTACTGTGCTATTGGCCCAGTTTCCCATCAAGGCTGGGTAACTAACTCAAAGTCAGCTTGCTTTGTGATTATTTAGGGAAGGGAGCACAGTACTTCACCATATAACAGTGTAGGTTAATGTCACACTTCAGTGGAGCTACCAATATTTGTAGGAATCCACTAAAACATATAGTACAGTATGTAACCTTTTTCTAGCTGTACGCTGATATGTAGTGTGACCTGGACATTTGACCTGATCCATTTTCAAGCTGTTTGCTGTACGGTAAATGTTCTCGGTAATGACGAATGAATAGCTAAACCTATGATAATAGTATAAAAGTATTGATTCTGACAGTATTGATTGTAATGTGATGTGTTGACTGGAGGCAGCCACCTTTAAAGTAAGAGATGAATTTTACTTGACATCCTGGGGGTATTTTCCAAATATTAAATAATCCACCAGTTGAACACAAATAAAAGTAAAATGTCATGTAAGGACCTTTAGTAACATGATTATCAGTGTAGTTGTAAAATACTAACTGATAAAATGTATTTTTTAAATCATTTCTACAGCATCTGTTTTTGAATATAAAAAGAGGAAGGGGCAAAACCACAAAAAATAGGAAAGAATAAAAAAAAAACAATCTAGAATAGACCTTGGATCAAGCCACCCACAATAATTAGTACCATTTGTTTGATGATTTGCCATAAATGAAGCTATTGTTTGATGATTTTGTTAAAATGGTTAACTGAGCTCATGGCAAACAGGCTGTGTGGTAGCTAATTAGTTGTTATTTACAAAGCACTCAAAACCTTTTAATTATATCTTGGTGTTGGTGAGATGAGAAAGACGGTGAAACCTTTTTTAGGTTCAAGAAGACACTGGCAACGTTTCAACAGCTGAATGAAAATGAATTGTTGCTGATAATTGACCTTCCCATGAACAGCATTCTTTCAATCATAGCTTAGCAGCCATGACGCTGCACGACAGGTCTGTCAAGATTTGAACTTGTCCACATGTTGCAGCTGTGCATGTTGCATCAGTAGGATGAGGAGGATGTGACTGCCACTTAAAACGGTGAGGGCTGCGTCAGGTGAGGGCCTTAATGACTCGGATGGGTAATAGGGACCCAACTCGACTCTGATTATGCTTTGGTGACTTGGACTTGATTCAGACTCGAACACTGGAGATTCGAATCGGACTCAAGGTTTACAGACTCATCTACAGCTGACAAAGCATGCTAGAGACAAGTTTTCATTTCATTTAAAAAAGACAGTTGTCCACTATAAATATGTAGCCTGCTTTTGTTTTACTTTGTCTGAAATTAAAACCCTGTTGTTTAAAAATTACTACAAATTTTGAGTTGTGTATCTGCTCATTACCACTGTAAAGTGCATACTTAGAGAGGCATAGTAAAGTAACTAAAGGGGCAAGACTTGGTGGTCCATTAATATAACATTACACTTTTGTATTGGACAGGCAATCAATGGTGTCTCCAACAAGAGCCCTTACCCCGCCCAGCAAGTGTCCATCAACATCACAACCAATCAGGCTGGTGAGTGAGGAGTGCAACAGCTGTGTGCATGTGTCTGTAGCATCTGTGTATGTGTACAAACATGCCCTGCAGCACAGTGGATTATGTGAGGGAGGGTTGGCTAGGGGATTAAAGGAAACTGAGCTGCAATTTTTTTATTCATAAAACATGTTATAGGCTTGTCATGTCTCTGTCTCTCTCTCTTCCCCCCACTTTATCTTTCCTGCACATCCTTCTCCCAGTTCTTTATCCCCTCTCCCTGCCCTCCTCTCTGTCACTGGCAGTATAATTTTTAGAGACTATAAAGTGAGCTGAGTTACTACTCTATCAATACTTTATAGAGACAGACAAGTGACATTTCCATTTCCACCGCTGTCCAAATTTAGAATAAAAAGCCGCTTTACTCACATCATTTACCTCATCCACAGACCCAGGCTCGTTTCTAATCGAAGCATGATCCTTTCTAACCCTTCTGAGTGTATTTGTTACTGCTGCGAGATGCAAAACTCCCCTATCCCTCAAATCTCTAAGGGCGCGACAAAGAATACTTATTTTCAGGTTGACTGCACTGCATTAGATTCTGAGTGCGTTTCATGGGACCTGAGGATATGAAACTCAGTCCACATCTAGAGAACAGTGTAAAATGTCTTCTGCGGTAATATTAAAAAAGACTGAGGCTTTCATGTGACAACAGCAGAAGTTTTTGGCTCTTGAAGCAGCATTTATTGAGGATTATGTCAGTCCCATGGTGTCCTGATGACTAAGCTGTGCAAGATTCCTGCTACCTACCTACTTGTGGATAATGCTTTTCTCAAACTAAATCTCCATAAAACCACTGATTAGAAACAAATTCAAGTATATTCTCAAGAAAACAACAGCGGCCTTGAATTTAATTTAAAATGCTTACTCCATCTGTGTCCATGTCATTTCTGTCTCCCCTGTTCTCTATCAAGTACAAATGTGATGAAAACCATCTCATAAAAAGATCCCAGAAGCAAAACCCTGAAATGCATCACAGCCAACATCTTCTGGCTCCTAAAATTATGGGTAAAATGTATTGTGGACATAACTCTTGTTTCCCCATCAGTGACAAGTGTGGTAATTTGTTTTCATGAGCCTGGATGAGGAAGCATTTTTCTCCTATGGGTGTAAATAATCCTCTGCAATATGTCATTACACACTATCTCTGCGTTGATGGTGTTAAGCATGCTAGTGAATCTTTTAACTACTTAATTGATTGTGTGTGTGTGTTTTTAACAGCACCCTCAGAAGTTCCCATAATGCACAAAGTCAGTTCAACGAGCCGCAGTTTCTCATTGTCATGGCAACCACCCGAGCAGCCAAACGGAATTATCCTCGACTACGAGATACGATATTATGACAAGGTAGAGTGGGATGATAAATGTCTGTGAGCGTTTGTGTGTGTGAGTCTGTGCACTTTTGTTGTTGTTGTGGGCACAGCCAGTAATCCTGAGTCATGGTAATATCATTTGTATCTGGCTAATCCATCCATCCAGTGGCTCAAATACAGCAATGTTCATTGTCACACCAATGTCGAGGCCAGCAAGGCAGATTCGGTTTATATGGGATTTTGGAGGCTCAGTGAGTTATGGAAAGTTACATATTCTCACAGAGATACTTGGCCGACCCAACAGCTGACAGTTGAGTGAGAGGTGAAGAGACTCTTCATTCAACGTGAAGTTAATGCATTCAGAGATTTCATCACTACATCGGTCCATTCACTCAGAATAATAATGACTGCTCAATTATACATGGTTTTGTATCATTCCTATTGTTAATATTAATCATTTCCTGTCACTTAACATCAGTACTTTTGATTGATAAAAGTTATTCATATTGTTTCCGTGGCTGAAATCTGGTAAATGCTGCTCTTCATGGATGTGACATGAGGATTATTTAAGGGAAGCTGAAGGCAGAAACCTGTCGACTTATTTTTTAGGTTTATAGTTTTGTAATTGATGTTTCTCTTTTACATGTACTCGGTGTCTATTAAATAACTGAGTTCATGTATCACTTGTTATACAGTATTATTTCCCTTTAAGTCGGGATTAACCTTAGAGCTATAATTCATATTTCATGGGGCATGTAGCATGATGACAGGATTTTACAGTGATGGAGAGCCTCTTTATTCTAGCACATGAATTGTTGATAGTAGTCGTGCAGCAAAGATGAGCATCCGTTTAACAACCGGCTGCAGTGAGCTCGTGTCAAACTATGGGACTACATCACTTCAGCAGAATTGTAAAAGTTTCATTAATTTATTGAATCAAAATAACATCTAGGCTATATGTTTCTTCCATGGTGTAATGTGTAGTTGGATGCCCCTTCTAAGGTTTGACTTCCCGTTCCGTGGACCAGCTGCAGTTCACTATTATTTTCTCGGCTGAAACAATGTTACTGACCCTCATGAAATGCTGTTGCGCTTATTTTCAGTGTTTCACAAACGAGAATAAACCATGAATGTGGTGATTAAAACTATCATTTCACTGCTTTTTGTATGTAGACATTTTGAGGGAACTGGAAGATCTTTTTCCTTCTCAAGCTGAATCTCTTAAAGACTAAAGCAGCAATTTATCTGCTATTGAATGCTGTTGAAATCAAAGCTCCCACCACTCTGGTCTGTGAGGCAGTCGGGGCAATCAAGCCTCCAGCCATTCTGTAGCGAACAAGGTCCTAGCCTGTATGAACCAGGGGAGTAAAGCACAAACTACTTTGCTGCCAGAGTTCAGTGACCACACCAGCCTGCATAAAGAATGCCACGCCAGGACACCAGTGAGGACCTCTGATTTAGAAGTGACGCATGCATGAAACACTGCTGCTCAAGGAAAGAAAAACAAAGGAAGGACTGATTGTGGCTGCATATCTTGTGTTCACATTCAGTGGAAAGCAATGAAATTTGAGACTAACAGTGAAATTAACAGCATATCTATCATCCAAAGTTAAACATAGGAATCCTCATGTTTTCTGAAGCTGAGCCAACAGCTGCAGAAAGAGGCTCCCTCTGCAGATGGATGAAAACAAAGAGCAAAGCACCTACAATGGAGATACACCAAAAAGAACATCATGCCTCCTCAGCCTCATCCCACATTTGGTTCTCTGCCATTTTCCTGTGCTTTTTTTTTTTTTTTTTTTTTATAAAACTGAAGAAAATACTTTTGGGCATTTATTGGGATGCTGTAGCTCGTTGATTCTTTTCTTAACACGCTGTCAGAGAGCAGTGCTTCCATAACTCACTGAGCCTTCAAACACAAAACCTTAAATGCTCAAGATGCTTGTCAAGTCTCTTTCTTAGGTCTGCTGTTTGATGAAAACACTTGACTCCAGAAGACTCTCATAGATTCCAGTTCCCCAACACAACATACACTTGTGTATGGTTACAATATAACTGCACTGTGCTGCACAAGGGGAGGGGAGAATGTGTGTTTGTGTGTGTCATTGTTATTGTTGGGTTATTATTGTTCCCTTTTAAAGGTCCTGGTGACAGCACTGGTTACACCAGTTTGCTGTCCAACATGCATGCTGATGCTTTTGACAAATGTTGTTTAGTTTTTGAGGCACCCTGATAGCCGATTGGTTGGGGTGTGGCAAAGCAGGTACTGTGTGTGTGCAGCATCAGTGGTTCAAGTCCGACTGTTTACCTATGTCGCAGGTTTCCCCATCTGTCTCCCCCATGTCCCATCTGCCTCTTAGGGCTTCATCTTAAAAATTAACTTTATGTTAATTCACAGCTGCAGGATTTTCCTGTTGTTTTAATGGTTGCATGTAATTTCACAGTATATTTTTGTAATTTTATTACCATTTTCTTGTACAGTATGTCAAACATACAAGGTAAATGTGTCAAACAAATTCTTTTTTTTCTTTTACAGTGCATGCTTATTCTTGACTTACTGTGACAGTAAGAAATGCTGTGAAAACTGTTTAAAAATTCCAGTGTTTCATGTTCAGTATAATGGAAGCTAGCTAACCATCATCATTACTGATTTCTTTTCATAAAATATAATTAGTGGTGATCATCCTGAGCTCATTGAGTGAGTCTCCTCTTATTACTGCCATTAATGGAGTCTCGAACTTGAAAGGTTTTAATCACTTATTCAAAGAAGAAACCTTTCAAACTTCTGCTCTGCACTACTTACTGTAGCTCAAATCAAGCAGTTAAGTTGCTGAAGCACCTGCGATGACCTGTGTTTACATTTTCCTGACAAGTAACCTTTTGTGGTCATGCAAGTCTGCTTTTAGAATAAAAGATTGAAGTAGTTTGTCTGCTGACAAACCTCTTAGGGAAGAGTTTGGCTCAGAACCAGTTCAGCTGCACCAAGTGTCTGACATAATCAGAAACCATGTTTGTCATATAGACATCGACAGCGTCGGCCTTTCCAGCCGTGACCGATGAATTTCCTAAACTCAGCTCCTGAGGGGGCAGATCATAAAACATTCACTTTGCATTGACTCATTGGAATGATCATATATAGTTTAAAAAATAGCCAATGAACCCTAACAAAACACGATTCAGATATTTATATGACATATTGAACATAGAAAAGGATTTTTTTTGCAAACACCAATTATATTTTGTACAGCAGTTATTACACAGATTTGTGTAAAAATCTAAAATAAAAAAAAACTTTCTTCAATAAATTGATTTTACACACAAGTGCACAATGAGAACCGCTTTCACTCATTTGCTTTCTCTCACTGAGCCTTGTTTGTTCTTTCATTATCTCTGTTCGTGCTCCAAGGGTTTGCAAGCGCACAACAAGGACTTTACAAGAGGGCAAATCAGTGAAACAGAGCAAACAGTTTGCAGTGATGTGGATAATATAGCCAGAAATACACAGTTTCTTCTAGCATAATATAAAAAGAGCCAGGTGCACAGTGTAAAATATCTTTGGCACAATTTTTATGTTTTGCATATTTTGTCAGTTAAGTTATGGAAAGTTACATATTCTCACAGAGATACTTGGCCGACCCAACAGCTGACAGTTGAGTGAGAGGTGAAGAGACTCTTCATTCAACGTGAAGTTAATGCATTCAGAGATTTCATCACTGCGTCAGTACAATTGCAGTCTTACACAGCTGGCATATGCACAGATTTGGAAATTCAAAGGTCAAAGGTCTGCTAAAGGGAGAATCTCGCACTTTCTCAAAGGAGCAACGGTAGCTGTATTTATGAATTTACACATATACCATTTCCCATGGTTTAGGTGACAGTGAAATTCCAGGGAAGGAGAGAATAGCAGACAAAGTTGATATTCTGCCTCTGTGAGAGCAATTAGAGTCAGTCGAGGACAGAGTGAGGAGCTGTGCATTTGCTGGGAGATGTACTATAGCAGCAGTCTGACAGTCGCAGATAAAGCCCTAAATCAGGGCAGCAATTTTATTGTAAGTTGGCCTAATTTTGCTGCAGCCTTATTATTTAACAAGGAAGCCAATTAAGACCCTGAATCAAAAGCTGACTGTTTGTTCTTTCATTGTTTATTCTTTTCTTTTTTTTTTTTCCTTGATGCACATCTTAAGAAAGTAGGAATACCATATCATATACTGCAGTCAAGCCAACTGCACGGAGTCACTAATTTTAGCTCCGCTTCAAGTGAAGAAGTCCTTGGGGAGCAGTTTTATAAGCCTGGAAAGAGAGAGGACGAGTTTTTCTAACCAGGCAGCTGTGGCTCCTTTTCTGGTACTTTGTCATTTCTCCACTTTCCTTTCCTCCATCTACTCCTCCATCCCACCCTCACCTCTTTTTAGTCGCTTTATAGATAATCAGGTTTTAATGTAGTAAATTTGATATGGCACAGAGAGGCATGTTTTTTTTTTTTTCCTGCTACTTATCTCTGGCTACCAGACCTTCCCAGACGAGCTGCCCTCTAACCTCTTTACTTTTGCAGGCGTAGAATCAGTCCCATGCCCCTCCCCACACGTACCTCCAAATTCAAACCTTACCACCAACACAATACCCTCATTTCCGTGGCCACTTCCAAATATTACTCACTGTCTTATTCTCCCTGGCTTTTAGCACTGCAAACTCTTGTTGTCAAAGTGTCATGTGCTAATTATGATGTAGGATTAGTGGAATCTGTCTTTGGTCACAGTAACTCAAACATCCACTAAAAGAAATTATGTGGATCAATGATGCTAAATGCACCCAGCTTCTGAGCTACACAGGAATGGTACTGATAAGTGCCATCAAACATCCTAATAGTAAAAATTCAGAGGTGGTGAAGTTTCTAAGGATCTTAGACACATTTTCAGTTGAGAGTATTATTTCCTCTTCTGCTAACCCTTTGTCTTTCTTAGCTCCCCAAACCTCTCTTTCTTTCCCTCCTGAACTCTTCATCATCTCCTTTCCTCTCTTCGCTGTGCCTCCACCCTCGCCATCCTTACGGCATTATTTCCTTGCTCTCCTTTCGTGCCATCACCACACCATATCTGGTGTTCTCTCTGGACTGTTTCAGTAAAACCCTTTTATCTGAAAGAGCCGAGCAAGCGTAAACACAGGAGGAGGGCATAGAGAAATCGAGGTAAAAGGTTGTAGCCCTTGGGTTTATAAGATAGGCCTGATGCTTAATTCACCTCAAGAGGAGGGCTGTGGGGAAAGAAGACCCAATGTGTGGGCACTGGCTAATTAACTGTGTTATCACTTTATTACATTTTCAGAGAATTAATGAGCCAAAGAGGTGGAAAATAGAGCAAGAAAAAGGAGGGACATGAGATTTAGGGAGGAGAAATGTGAAGAAGCTGGGGGTAGATGAAATAAATGACTGGAAGATACATGAGAGGTTGCATAAGAAGAGGAGAGGGAAAGAAGGCAATTAAAGATGGAAGTGAGGTGAAAAGAGGGCGTCAGATATTAGAACACAGTGATAATGGGCACGATAATGGGCAGAGTGTAAATGAAAGATTACCAAATGCAACATAGGCTGTCAGAGGGTCACCCAAATTACAAAAAAACATATTTTGTTTTTTAACAGTGCGCGTTTTTTATTCTAATATAAGTTATTCTTAAAGGGTAAGTTCACAGAAAGTCCTGTCAGGGTGATTATAGTGTCACAGTTTAAGAAAAGTGAAGGTCTCGGTTTGGACTGAAACTTTGGAAGAATTCATCTTCAGCTGAAAGCCTGAACTGAGTACTCAATTTAGTCTGAGACCGAAGGAGTATGATAGTCTGTCCTGGATCACTATGAAACATATTTATCTCTCTGTACCCCCTCAGTCCCAGTCATCAGTCCTGAACAGTTCAGTGGTCCAGAGCGAGACCTCCAGTGTGCTTCTAGAAGGACTGAGGCCCGGGACAGGCTATGTGGTTCAGGTGAGGGCCCGCACAGTGGCTGGCTACGGAGTTTTTAGCAAGGAGATGCTCTTCCAAACTCTCACCGACGGTAAGTGGGAGGGTGGATGTTGGAGTGTGTGGAAGTGGGTGTTTTGTCAAGTGAGGGTTTTGTGGTTGAGAGGAAAGAGAGTGTAGGACAGAGTGAGAATGTGAGAGGTTGAGCAAGAGTGAGAATCTGGCTGTGAAGTAATTAAATTCTGCCCTACTTTATGTGAATATGAGTGCTTGCAGTCATATAAAATGAGCCTTGCTAAGGATGTTTTAAGTGTATTAGAGACAGAGAGAAAAATGTTGGTGTATATTTTGCCTTCCAGAAAGGCTCAGTTGCTACAAAAAATGTGAAAATTGCCCCCCCCTCCCCCTTTTCAATTTGTGTGTTGGGTTGTGTCTGTGTGTGTTTCTGCAGATGAGTATAAATCAGAGTTGGGACAGCAACTCTCTCTGATCGCAGGCTCTTTAGTAGGTGGAGTGTGTATCATCTCGCTGGTAGCTGTCGCCATCATCTGCACCAGGTAATGTGCAGACGCACACTTACACAAACTCCTACACAACTACCCAAACATGCTGAGGGGAAAAAAATTCTCTATGATCCAGTTTCAGATTTTTCCAGGATTTTCCGTCACATCTCATGGTATTCCTCAGCACTGAGAGTTTGCCAAGTTATCAAACTGATGTGGTTACAGGTGAAACGCCCCCTACACAAACACAGTCACCTGTTATCATGTGATTAAAATTCCCTACTTGGGTCATGTGATGACAACTGAGCAAATTTTATCTGCTGAGGAAGATCATGAGATGTGATTGAAAGCTAATACTATGTGACTTCTGAGATTTTTTTCAAACTGCTATTCTCAGGCTTTAACAGTTGAAACCAGTTTGCTACTTTATAAAATTCTCCTCATTTTCAGTGAAAACTGGAGAGAAAAAATGACTAACTTTGCTCATCAGGTGTAAATTATTAACTTTACTTTTTGTGCAACCATATGCAGCAGAGTACTGTTTGAATGCACATTAAGACAAATTATTTCAAGCGACATTGTATAGTTGATAGATAAAGAAGTGTGCTATGACCAGAAATAGAAATGCAGTTGTGGACCAGTAATGGCAGAGCTGCTTCACAAGTGCTACATTAATTCTCCCATTTAATTAGACAAAAGTCTTAAAATAGATGTAAAATGTGATCTCGTGACCCCCCACTGATAGTAAGCGACAAGTTGTTTCTCCTGCATGCCGTCTGTCTATTGTTGTCTATTGTTAAGATCAGTTGACATACTAAAATATTACAAGGAACACATTTCTTTGGTACCATCCTCAGAGGGAAGCAGAGCAGTAACAAGTCACCCAATAATAATAATAAATCAAATCAAATTTTATTTGTATAGCGCCAAATCACAACAAAAGTCATCTCAGGTCACTTTACAGGACACTTTACAGGCTTCTAAGCTGACCAACCAAAAGTAGCAAATTAAATCTGGTAATTAAGAACTTCTGCAACACAAGTGCTTAAGTGGTGCAAGCGTATGCTGTTACTCAAAAATTCAGATGAACCTAGAAACAGTAAGTTTAATTCCTAAACAATCTGGGAGCAAGCACAGACGCGGTGCAGGCACAGAAAACAGGAAATGAGTATGGTTACCGCAGAAGCAGGAAACAGCAGTCCGTTAAAGGTTCAAAAAACTTATAACATGTCTGTTTTACTTGATACACATGGTGTTTTATGTAACGGGAAAAAAAAGTTAAAGAATAGTACAAAATAGTTTTGGTGACCACGCCCTCCAGCCTGATAATGTTTGGTTGGTCAAACTGGCCCATGATTGATGCCTCAGCCAGGAAGTCCCGCCTTTGCCTCTCAGAGTAACCCACCTTCAGGGTCTTGATGGCCACAGTAATTTCTTTTTTCCCCAACAGGCTTTAACTGGCCTTTGTACATCTCCCCAAACTCACCTGAAGAAGGAACCTGGCAGATAGAGATAACTGATTTACTATTAGACAATTAGATTACAATTACATGTATAGCAATTGTTTGGCTGCTTTCCTTATCAGATTGCACAAAAGCTGATGGTAGCATAAAGAGGCAATAAGACAGAGAGCACTAGTGGTAGCCAAACCCCACAGGACACACACCCATGTGGTCTCACAAGAGCTGCGATTAGAGGAGAGCGAGTTGTATTGAAACAGCTGTAGGCAACAATTAATTCACAAGTTCACACTTAGGTCGCTTTCTGGGACAAAAACTACACAACATCAACATATTTCCTCATTCACTTTCTGAGGTCAGATTCATAGACTTCCGCTTTTTAGTTTCTTCCTATTCCTCACTTAACCTTCACACACTCTCTCTTTCTCTAATACATTTCCGAAAGACTTTCTTTTTCTCCATCAAACTTTTTTGAGTTTTATTCCTGCAATATTTCAAGTTTTAGTGTAAAGTTTTGTCTATTTGCCATTTTTCCCTAAAACCTCTTGGCCTGTGTGTTTGTCTGAAGGAGAAGGCAGTTGAAGGAGAATGTGTACGGTGACAAGCTGCAGCAGTACAACACAGGAGGAGGTACAGCCTATATCTAGTTGTTAAGTTGTGATGTAACATCCTGTTTCCAGGTCCGAACTTTGGTTCGTTCTGCTCCTCTCCAAATGCTGCAGTGTTGTTTTCCCCATTGTTTCAATAGATCTGAATCAAAATCATGGGTCAGCTGTCATTTTACCACTTTCCTTTTGATAAATCATGACTTTCCTTTTTCAACAGGGAATGTGTTTGATGAAATTCAAAAGGTATGGAAATCACATACAAATAAGTAATGGGGGAAACGACATTGTATGTACTCACCAACATAAACCATAAACTTTCCTTGTGATGGGAAGGAGAAAAAGAAATGGCTACCATTGATTAGATAAGTCACAAATTTATGTGACTTATCAGTGTTCTTAAATTTATAGAATAAAGCTTCTAAAAATGCTGCTTTGCTTTCTTGTAATGTTAGCCAGCTAGTTAGCACACAGTTGAGGTAAACATTCTATACTGATGCATTTTACACTGATGAAAGTAACAGTAAAAGCTGGAAACTGTTAAAAATGAGTTAAACATGTACTGTAGCTATATATATTGGTATAAATTTACTATGATGTAATAAATAAAGATTGGCTATTATGCCACCAGGTGGATCGGCAACATTGACTATTTGAATCTTAAGAACGTAGTTATGTTTTTTTAGTCTCACTGATGCCTCACTAAAGACCAAAAAAGATGTTATTGTGTAGAGGGTGACAGCCTCCACCGTTTGGGTCTGTGGGAGTTTTGACCTGGAAATGGAATGTTGCGTCACACCGGGTGACGTAACGGGTGATGACACTTCTGCCCCAGCTATTAAATACAATCCACCTTTATACATGCTTGCATGTAACAGTGTTTGCACTTTCTCACTGTCTCTTCAGAGGTGACTCTGAGACCGGACATGTTCAGCGGCCCCACCCCCACCGTGACCTTTCCCTCCCTGTCTGAGGGTCACAGTTCACCAGGGGTCAAGATCTACATTGACCCCTTCACCTATGAGGACCCAAATGAGGCAGTGCGAGAGTTTGCCAAGGAGATCGACCCCTTCTGTGTCAAAATAGAGGAAGTCATTGGATCAGGTGGAGATTTTGACCCTTTTTCTTGCCCTTCTTCTCATGTTGCTTCTATAGGATGAGAAACTCCCTAAAGGGGAAATCAGTGATTATTATAATGTGTCGAATATTACTCAGCATTTATTCTCTTATTACAAAAGCTTCAGTTGAAGATTAAAATAAGTAAAAAGTAAACAAAATTCACAGCCCTAGTTGCTTCAAAAGAGAACTTTAGAAGATTTATCTTTTACACAAGAACAACTGTTGGTTAAAACAGCAGATACTCAACAGTAATCACGTTCTTCAACTGTGCCGAGCTTTTGTGTCAATGAGAAAGATCTGGAAATATGCAATGCCAGTTTATTATTTTGCTTAATTTTTTTCCTTTGAAGTCAGGAGAGATGTTTTATTCATGTTGAAAACTTTCACAGGAATAAATTAAAAAAGTCTTCTTGCATTCTCTTTGGCTAACTGAGCTCTCGCTGTAAAAATGCTGTGTGATGTTTGGCAAATGGAGACACTTGGATGTGTAACGGCCTCCCAGAGCTTCGTCTGAAATGTTTTGGGTTTTTTTTTTTTTCCTTTTCAGGTGTTGGATTAAAAACAGAAAAGAAATGATGGAAAAAATAAGAAGAGAAATCTTTACAGTTCATATTATCAACTGCCTTGTTTTACTATCGATTCCTGAGTCATGGAATTCTGAAATGCCTGCAGAATGCATCATTGTTTTGTCAAATGAGTATTAGCATGAGTTGTTACACTTCTGTTTAACTCACTAATAGAAAAAATGACATCCATCCTACAGTCCCAAAACTGATCCATTAATACATTTCATACAGAAATAATGAAGTCTATTAACAAAGTCAGTATATTGATGACACACAGTCCTGTGTTCTCACAGTGGAAATGAACAATGTCCCCTGCCATAGCTTATTTCAGTTCAGTATGTTCGGCACTTTTTTCACAAAAAAAATGAATACCAGTGTGTATGCGCTCAAATCTTTGTTACAAAATTGCTTTCATTTCAGTTCATCCTGACAGTATAAGAAATAAGTCATTTAGCTCATGTGCCTTTTGCTGTGCCAAAGGTTAGTAATATTTCTTTCGTATTAGATGGAGTCATGCTTTTACTTAACATGTTATACCACTGATAATGCACAACTTGTTTTTCTTGGATCAAAACCAATTAAATCCAAATGGCCACAAAGCTCTGGGTGAGAAAGGTCGTGATCCAGATTCAGGCCCTCATTGCTGCGAGTGTGAGCGCTGGACTTTGAGAGGATTTCTGTAATCCCTCTGTTTCTCACTTGACTTCTCTCAGAGGAAGGTTTTTCACCTCGGCCAGAGGTGACAGTGGAGGGATGAATACAGCGGGTAGAGACTGGGAATATGGGTCTGGGTGATGGGAGATGTGTCTGTACTTTGAGCACTTAAACAGTGAAGTCTCTGCCGTTCGGCTACAGTAAAAAGTGAAAATTCATCCATAGCTTTTTCTTTCATCCTTCCCTCTGACTTTCATAGTTTTTCTTTTTGTCTTTCTTTCATACTTCCTGCTATCCTCACCTCTCTTTGTGATTAGGCCCCTCTGGTGTTTTAGAGATTTTT